AAAGCACTGTTATCTACCATGCCAGAAGCAAAGGATGAGAAAGGAGATCTATTGATTTTTACAATGAAAACATGACTGTCATTAAATTGAAGTTTTAAAATGTAGTGATTATATCAGAAAAAACCCAAAAGTCAGGTGTTTAGTTGGACAATTGAATGCTTAGGAACTTTTCATTATGTCCTACTAAGAATTATCAAACCTGTGCAGACTTCAGCTTTAGCATTTCCTCCAGGGAGCTAATGGAATTCTGTTGTGTTATACTTTAATTTCTTCTGCTCCTGCTGAATTATTTGGGTCAAATTAGTTTGGGTCAAAAATTACAACTTTTCTTGCCATCACTGAAAAGCATATAACTGTGTATTTAATTTATTCTAAAAAAAAAAAGTCCCAAATGATTCAGCTTATTTTTTCAGTCCCTAAATCTTACAATCATAGGCTAAATTTCCTGAAGATAGTAAGTCTCCCACAGGAATAAGTTTCAAATTGCTTGGCAGCATCTGCAGTGAAGTATTTTAAATGTAGGTAGGGCCACAGGTGGATAGTGTTTTCTGAAAAGAGGTTGTAGGAGCAAGAGAAAGCAGAGTACATGATTAGCACTCTGAAGTTTATCACTTTTTGGGAAAGTGCACATTTAAAACTGATCATATGATCTACTATAATTATTCAGGTCAAAGCAAGAAGAGTTCCACAGGAGTAACAGCAGGGTTTTGAATTGAGGGGAATTTTTTATTTAGGTGGAGGAGAAAGAGAGTTCTTCTAATGGGATGCAGCTTCAGCTGAGGTCTCAGTGTTAAGAGGTTTTGATCCTGGTAGTGGCCAAGCACCTTTGGTTACCTGTCAGTGCACACCACAGCACTGACAGTGAGGATGCAAAGATCTGGCAAAAGCTCCATCTGCTATTAACACCTAATGCACTACTCAGCATGTTTCCAGCCCCCTGATAGCAGACAGGATTTTGCATGCATTTCTGCCCCACCACAAAAGCACCTAGCTGGATAATACTGTCTACAGCTTAGCTATCAATATTTGTTTTCCATCAGAAAGGCATTTTTTTAAATCATAATTCTTCTGAGGAATACAAGGTTCAGGATTCAGCAATTTACCCAGGTCGGTGCTCTACAAAGCCAAACATTTTCTCATTGCCAGCTGGAAAAATGTCAGAGATTTCTTTGGATATTACAAAATAACTGCATTTGCATTGAGCAGGCTTTTTTTCCTCCACCTAAACTTGGATTGCACAACATAAAGGCAGTTTAAAATATTTGCTTTCTGATTCCACATAAAGAACTTCAGCTTTCTTAGGAAACTTAGAGCTCTTTGGAAGCCAAGGTTTCCACAATGGTAAGTCAAAGGTTTAGATTGGTTTGGGTTGTTTTTTTTTTTTTCATAATGGGGATACAGATAGGTATATGCTTTAAAACTGCAAAATGAGAGCATTTAAGGGAATCATCATGGTACACATTTTAAATGTGGCTATATTGTATTTCAAACCTATAAAATACAAAGACAGGAAGACACTTCTGTGAAGATTACTGTGAATTTTGTTCTTTGCATTGTAATTCTTTGCAAGAAACCATAGAGATATCTCTCAGTCTTTCACTTGCTGTTATCTTTTCCTGAGAAATGTTTGTGAAATCATTCAGAGTTTTGGAAACATAGAGGACCATGCTTTTAAAACTTGTAAATGTCAAGTACAGTTTAAAATATTGTCATTTGGCAAAGAAAAAAAGTGTGTATATTTTGTCCGTGTATTTTTTCTGTTCTTCATTTTGATCCCTTAAATTGTGTCCTGTTCCAGCTCTTCAAGCCTCCAAAGGTGTTTTCAGAGTCTAAATCAACAGTTAGGTAATGATAGCAACAAAGTCCTAATGCCTGGTTCTCCTGTGATTTGTGCTCACGTGGTCCCAAAGGCACAGACATCAAGAAGTGCCTTAGATGAGCATCTCAGGAATGGCAGAGGTTCTACAGAGGAGGCAGGAGTGTCTATAATATATGTGATTCATAAACAGGGAAGAAATTACATTTGCTTCTTTCTTTCTGTTTTAGTTTGTGTCATTTAGCTGACAAATCATTTGTTTGTTGCAGCATAAAGCACATTCAGACACCTGATTGAACATCAGAGACTTCCCTTTATGTTTGTTTTTAGTTTCAGTAGAAGGTCTTATACTTTGATCTTTAGAGAGAGGAGCATTCCCAAGCTCATGTGACTGGCATTTCCAGGAACAGCATGATAAGGAAAATACTGGAGGGAAAAAATGATAAAATATTAACAGAAGACAGCACAACTCATGAAGGATTTTTATATTTTCTATAAAGACATGAGTGACACGCATGGAGTGTTGTTGCAAACACCTAACCCAGGCACCAGGGAATGGCACACTTTAGGAGTTTCAGTCTTTCCCTTTATCTTCTTTCGTTCTGGCTATGGTGCTCAGCATGACAACTATCTCTGTTCTAGCCTAAAACCTCAGGAACTCCACATCACAGAACCACAACGAAACTGAAGCATTACTCCCTTCTCAGACCACTCCATAAACCTTCCTCTTCCTTGCTTTCACTATACCTCAAATGTCAGTCAGTCCTATAACAAAGCAAGAAATCAAGGATCAAAATAACAAGTTTTTCCAAGCAGACAGAGGAGTTTCTCATGGGCTCACCTCCTGCCTGAGGCTCAGAACCTTTCAGTGTCTCATGGTATTGTGGCTCAAGTAAACCAAGCCTCTAAGTGCTACTTTAAGCCCAGTTTCAAGCAGCAACACTCTCAGCAATATCTTCCGAAGTTCAGGACAGCAACTTGTAAAGATCTACTTCAAGATCTATTTCAAATCCTTTCCTGTTAGTCTGCAAGTGCTTTCAAGAAAAATTAAATAACTTCCTCCATTGCTTCTCAGTCTCTGGCTATTCCTAAACTTTTCCTTTAAGTTATTCACCTGGAGCAACCCATCAAAATAAACCTGTGCTCTCTCCTGCTTCTCTAGTCCTCTACTCCAGTAAAACAATCATTACAAAGTCATGCAGGCTTTTTCAGAAAAAGTTCTGGATGTTCAGCAGGTCCCAGGGGACGTATCTAAAGCCTCCTACAGATGCCTAGCTGTTGGCCCTCGAGACACAAGGAGGTGTGTCCCGTGTCAAGTCCCAGCCTGTTCTGCATAGTTTGACAAGATGGCTCAGGTGATGCTAAGTACGATGTACAGCACTCAAATTTTGCCCACATTTATCTCTCCCTTCCCTGACCAGCCACCTGTGTCAAAAACCCTACTGGAATAGATTTAGAGCGCAGATCTCCTCTACATTTGAAAATGTGAATCAAGTGCTGTACCCAGAAGTGAAGCAATGGGGTGCTCAACAAAGATTTGCTAGAGAAATAGCTAAAGCTGACTCAAAGGCAATAAAAAAAAGCACTGACAAGATCTTGGCAGGGCTTTCAAGTTTATAACACTATTGAAGGTTTGTGTGATTTCTAGAGACTGCATTTTGGCAGAAGTGATGCTGCTGACACAGTAATATCATGCCATTTTATATCTTCCCACCTAAATGAAAAATGCAAGGAAACATCTCAATATCACTTTTCCACTATTGTCAAGTGCACATAAGGTTATTTCTAATTTTGATTCAGGTTCAGTGACAGCTTTTGAAAACAGAGCTAATCAGTGTGGTTAAAATGCATGGCATGAGGTCTGTGATTCTTTTACAGAAGAGCTTTCTGGCTTTCCTTGTTGCAATGGGCATCATAGTGACCCTGGGGGATGCATACTGCTGGAGTACAATTCACAAGCCAGGGGAGGCTAAAGATGGTAAGAGCAAGGAACATCCTCTGACCTGATTGCTCTGTGGTAACTTGGCTCTCTGTGGAGCTGACAGGAAGGGCTCAAAATATAAGGGAAAGAGCACTTCATTAGCTGCCTTCTAACCTCTGAATTGTCCTAATTCAGCTCACAAAATGCATAATGAGATAGAGTGTCTCATTTCTGTCATTACTGCATTTGTTGACTACAATAAATTGAGATGAAACATCCATAAATTCTTCATATTGATGTTTTTGTTCTTTGCAGTGACATGGGGAAATGCTGCCTTCTTTGACAAAGAAATGCATTTGGCTCTCTACTCTGACATGCTGTGCACCAGTAGCCTGGCACAAGCTGCTGTCAGGCTTTACAGGGTCTCTTCTAGCCAGGTGTCCAAATCCTTTATCATTTTGAAGTGATGCACTATTTGGGACATGCTGTACAATGGCTCCTATTCAGTGTGCGTGGACATTGGTAAGACCTGTGCAGCTTCTGTGCCCCCCAAAAAATAAGTGAGGATGAGAGATCATCATCCTCTTTCTCCCATTTTTTCCCTTATTTTCATCAATGTCTTCACCCAACACTGGCAGTGACTGTTCATGTCCATTGCCCACTCTGACCAGACTTGAAGTTTAAAGCAATGGTAAACTTTAAACTCTTAAACATGTAAAATACAAAGATAGGAATACACCTCTCTGAAGACTATTGTGAATTTTGTTCTTTGGAAGAAACCGTACAGCTATCTCTCAGCCTTTCATTTGCTGTTTTCCTTTCCTCTGAAATATTTGTGAAAACATTCAGAGTTTTACAAACATACAGGAGCATGCTTTTCAAAACTTGTAAATGTCAAATACAGTTTAAAATATTGTCATTTTACTAAGTAAAAAGTGTGTATATTTTGTCCGAGTATTTTTTCTGTTCTTCATTTTGATCCCTCAAATTGTGTCCTGTCCCAGCTCTTCAAGCCTCTAATGGTGTTTGCAGAATCTAAATCAACAGTGAGGTAATGATAGCAACAAAGTCCTGTGGCCTGGTTCTCCTGTGATTTGTGCTCACGTTGTCCCAAAGGCACAGACATCAAGAAGTGCCTTAGATGAGCATCTCAGGAATGGCATAGGTTCTACAGAGGAGCAGGAGTGTCTAAGTGTCTATAATATATGTTGATTCATAAGCAGGGGAGAAATTACCATTTGCTTCTTTCTCTCTGCAGAAGAGCTTTCTGGCTTTCCTTGTTGCACTGACCAGCATGGTGACCCTGGGGGATGCATCCTGCTTTACTGTACTTCAAGTTCCAGGGAAGGTCTACAGAGGTAGAAATGAGGAAGATGCTCTGACCTGATTGCTCTGTGGTAACTTGGCTCTCTGTGGAGCTGACAGGAAGGGCTCAAAATATAAGGGATGGGGAAGACACTGGAAAAACACAAATATAGGTCTCCAGCAGCAAGGTGCCAAAAGTAGGGGAAAAACAAAGCATTCCCCTGGGCTGAGTATGGCTGCAGCAATATTATTGCAACTGGTGGTGGGTTGCTACTGCTATTCCAGCACATGGAGGTCCTTCAGGAGTTGAAAGAGTAAAACCCAATTGCTTGTACTTTACTATTGCCTGAAATTACATTTTCAGAAAAGCTGAAGTAGTTTTTAATCTCTTCTGCGTTTAGGTGGAGGCTTAAAGAACCTGTTCTCATTTGCTGCTGTCTTTCGCAGGGTGTACGTGGAAAGGAAAACTGTATCCCTTTGGACACATTGAGAGGACAGAAGATTGCTACAAATGTGACTGCAGTCAAGCTGCAATGGAATGCTGCTCCCTGTAAGTTTGGACTTTTTGGTACAATCATTGCCTGTAGGATGACCACAGCTTTCCATTGCTGGGGATAGATGGGTTTGTGAGGGCACAAGAGAGCCTTTTCTCACCCATGTCACAGAGCTAGTGAAAGCCACATGCAGCTCTCCATTGTTTGGATCCTTAGCTGTGTTTGCCTTTGCTCATTCTCTGCTGACTGGGAGTGGACACAAGACTTTCCAGGCACATCCAGGTGGTATTTGCCTTTCATATTTAAGGAACTTGTGAACCCCTCTTTCAGTGCAGTTGTCTTTCATTAGCTGAGAAAGTGGGGGTAGGTGACTTAAGTGAAGTTTCACTAAAGAACTTATGGTGATCTGATTCCCTTTCCTGAAGTACTTTTCTCCAGTGACTATGCTAAATGTAGAATGACAAGACTCTGCTCTGAAGTATTTCTCCAGCGTTCTCCTTTCCTTCTCCTGCTTTCTCAGTGGCCCAAAATACCCCAGTGATGATCTTTGTCTTTATTTAGGTGGCACAGTCTATCAGGGAGTAGCCACCACATCCTATGCAAACTGGAAATAACGAAAAATTAAAGGCAGAAAAAGAGAAAAGATGCCAAGGCCATGCTTATGTCACTGCAGAGTGCTGTGCTAGAAGTGCCTTTGCTAGTGCTGAGCATCCTGGTGCATCATTTGAGGCTCTGGAAGCTGCAGTTGTGTGGTGCTCAAGCGAGCTCAGCTGCCTTTAGCCATGGTTTGACCTCTCTCACTCAGCAGCAGTTCAAGCTATAATCACTGAAGTATTGAAACTTTTATTGCTCTCAAGCTAACATTTGCTTTCTCTTTGCCTCTGACAGCTTTCACACTCCTATTTCTTATGACAAAGAGAAATGTAAAGTGGTTTTCAACAAGAAGCGCTGTGACTATGATGTGGTGCAGAAGGATGACCCCTCAAAGGTGTGTTTTGCCTTTACTGCTGTGGGCTAACACCTGCTCCAAACCTCTCTGCATTGTGGAATTCCTCTCCTTCCTACAGATGCTTTGCCATCACAGAGAAGCACGATGACATGAGAAAATCTCTTAAAGAAGAGCAATTCAGTGGCTGCCTTCTAACCTCCGAATTGTCCTAATTCAGCTTACAAGATGCATAATGAGATAGAGTGTCTCATTTCTGTCAAAAGGTCATATTCATGTTCTTTATATTAGTTGTGAAGACTTCGTGTTTTAAGCAGTTTACAGATGTTTAGTTAACATTTAAATTAAGTAGGATTTTCATTCTATTAGTTTCCTTTGTTCAAGCTGTATTTATTTATTTTTAAATTAGAGCCTTATTACCTGTAAGGTCCCAAGAGATTCTGTGAAATCTGGGTGCCAGTTTTCTTACAGATGACTTTCTTAGTTCAAGAAGATTTTTGATTTGCTGCAGAACCAGGAAAAGTGTGAATTAATGACCAAGAAAAGAAATCTAACACAGGCTTTGAATCTCCTGAGAATATATTCTTTATGGTCCTGGGACGAACCAGCATATTTTTGTGATTAGCACATCCTTCCAGAATTTATCTGTGGGTGGAAAAACCCATCTTCCACTGCAAGGGCACCTCCTCCACCACTTGTAGTTGAAGCAGAGTCTGAACAGTTCAGCACAAACAAAAGCTGACACTGGAGAAGAAAGAAAATTAATTCTGATGGGTTTACCAGGCCAAAGAAATGTAGAGCCTTGTCTCATAGGCTCCAGAGAATAAACTGTGTTCACTGAGACCCAGAAATTGCATATAAATGTTTTAAAAAAGACATTTTTTAGTCTCAATGTGCAATTGTATTTGTTTTTATATTACTAGAGTAGCTGCCTATACTGATATTTCCTTCTTTCTTTTCTCTCTAAATAAAAATAATTTAGCAATGAAGCTCAGGAGTCTTTAATCTCCCTTGCTCAGAGCTGGGAAATGCTCAAGAACATTGCCACAGGTAATTTTTACTGATTTGGGATTTTTTTATTCATGAGATTATCCATCTGCACAAAAGCAGGCTAATATGTCACTTATCCTCTGCTTTGAATTTTTTTTATTATTTACACACCACCAAAAATTAATGAGATGTGTAGGGCAGAAAGAGAGAGGTACTAGTTCTCTTCTCTGTCCTTCACAGAAATGAGACTAAAGAACCACTTGTTGAATTTTGGTAACTTCTTGTCCAAATGAGAAATATTTTTGTGTTGGTAAAACACTGGAGAATAAGTTTTTAATATTTTTTTTATCCACAGGTTATACCATACAAAAGCTCCTTAGAAACAACCCATTATTGTCAAAGTCCAGAAGGTTGAAATGCAGGATATTTAGCTTTTTCCATAAGCTGTAGATACCTTTTTTTGCTGAATCTGCCACTCCTATTAATTTTGATTTACTGCCTCTGGACTTTTGTACTTGCTGGTAAAATATTTGTGGCCATCTCCCTCAGTTCTACCCACACTTCAGAGATGGAGGTCGCCTGCTTGTAAGTGTGGCCTGGTGTTTGTGATTGGCCCTTTAGATCTTTTTGTCTTCCCCTGTGTCTCTTGCTTAGCAGTGATCCTCCATCCCGAGATCATGATCTTTCAGGATTTTCCAGGCTAGCTGAGAAATTATCACATATTTTAAAAATTATTTGCACCAAGATAAAAAATTAGGAGTTTCTCATCCCACTGAAACTGCATTGAATTAAAACTGAAATTGGACTCATGGATGGGGGACTTGGCTACACATGAAAGAAGGCAGGTGTGTTCAGATCAGAGAAGAAATGATATTATTGTCTCAAGCTTGGATCTCCCATGTTGAATTGAGGTCTCAGTTCAAGTTTCTGCTCTGCCATCTGTGACCTGGGACAAATCACTCACACTGCCTGTGTACCTTGCTATACATTCATACAATTCTTTGATAATTCCTGTCTTGGGAGACTGAGGGCCTAGGCTTTGAGTTTGTGGGTATGTGAACTTCAGACTTAAGAAAAGCGTCCCCACCAAGATAAAACTTCCTTCTACCACCTTTACAATATGTTCTTGTGTAAACAGTGCACTGTATATTTTAGTGTTTGCATGTGCCTTTCCTTAACACAGTTATCCTTTCTCACACACAAATGTGGCAGACTTTAATACAGTAAAGACAATGTACATTAGACATAGCATTGTCAGTTTAATATCAAGAAGAGTTTATTTGTAAAACCATGTTTACTTATGATCTGTAAGTATTTCATGAGCTGAAATGCTTCATGCTTCCTCTTGTTCTTACCCTCTCAAGAGGAGTGATCATCAGCCTACTGGGTTTAGTGACTGGATACACAAACTGCTGTAAGGGGTCCTGCACTTAGTCTCCCACACAGAAATTTCACATTCTTGATCCCTCTCAAGAATGTGAGAGTAGTACTGAAATGCTGGCCTAAGAAACAAGATTCTTGGACTGCTTTCATTTTAGCACACCTCTTCTAGCTTTGAGTTGTCCATAGATATTAGCTGGATTAGTTGTCCATGGATATTAGTTGTCCATAGATAGGGCTGTTTTAATAACATGACTACTCTGAAATTGTGCTGTATTTCTCTCTGTTGATTGCCTTGCACTAAAATATACAAGAAAAAAAAGAGTTGGTCATCTTGCATTACTCAGATTATCTCTGTTATCAGTGAGATATAACCAAAAACTCCAGCAGAAGTAAAACAGCAAGGTAAATCTTCAAGAAAGTCTCCAAGACTTCTCTCTGCCTTAGGAAGAAAGAGGATGCTCTATCCATCAGAATAAGTGGAAGGGAGGCACAGAAGTGGGCAGAGCAATGATATTTTTAGAATGTTTTTAGTAAGAAATTAACCAGTTGAGAAGCCAACATAAGATTTCAACAGAGCAACATCTGTTAAACAAACCTGTTCCTCACCCATGCAAGGCACCTATCATCCTGTACACGAACAACAAGGAGAAATGTGATGTTATGTGGACCCAAATAATCAATACATGAATGGACTATCCTCATAGAGTTTGCTGCTGTGTTTTCAGCGCCACAGCATTTTGTTGAGTTCCTCTGAATTTACAGATGGTGCAAAAAGGCTTCTTCATTGTCCCTTAACACTGCTCAGGCTTAGGCAGGTCACTCTCTGCTGTGGTCCAAAGAAAACTGTTTGCAAGTTCTCTGCATAGCTCTTTGCATAGCTTGCACTAGGAAACAAGGGAAGGTCCTGCACTGGGAGCAGCTGGGCAGACTGGAAGGTTGAGAAAGAAAATATACAAGCATATTGGTTGGATATTTAGGTTTTTCAGAGTTGAGCAACAGGCACATCCTTTGTCACTCAACACCAACCCAGAAAGTTGTATTTTCTTTCATTTTGGCTGTAACAAATTCCATAAGTTTCACTCCAGTACACCTGTATCACAAATTTCCATGTAACTGATAATTTTTATTCACATACAAGAACTGCTGTAGGATGCCTGAGAAGCAAAATATTGCATGCCAAGTGCACAACATACAAGAAAAAAAAAAATAGATTAGTAATTTAAACAGAATAGATGCAGTGCAATTTGATGGTTCCTTTATTCCAAAATGCCATGGAACATTTGTTCCAGATCTCATTTGAGGACAGGGAGGAGCCAATACTTTGAGCAGGATTCTGTGCTACTTCCCACAGTATCATCAGCCTAGAGGAAATTGTTACTTCTCAATACCTAGAGGTTACAAAGAACCAGCTTGAAAAGCTAGGGCACATCCTTAGGCATCTCACAGATGTTCATCAATTAGGTCAGGCAGTAGAGGAGCAGGACGAGAGAAGAGAGACTGTGACTGCAGCCAGCACAAAAGGCAGCTTTGGCCTAGGATCAGGGTGTAATACGTCACTATCCTACTGTGCCTTTGCCCCTCTCCTTTAACTGGAAAATGAACATGGTCTGAAACACCAACCTATCCCAAACCACAATTGGCTTCATACATATTTCTGAGAGATTCAAAGGGAATATGTGGACTGTTGATTTCAATAATGAAATTCCCAGGGCTGACATGTCCACTGATTAGGAGCCAAGGTATGGCAGTTATCCTCCATTTCAGGGCAGGGCATAAATCAGCACTCCCAAGTCTAACTTACTACAGACAGGCTGATTGTCACAGCTTTATCAAACACCTGCAAGCACTTCATCCCTTTTCTGTCATCCTGAAAGGGATAGTCTAGTAATTGAAGAAAGACCTATTTACCCAACTTACCGAGTTGAAAGCCAGCTAAGATGTCACTGGAAGTAGTGGTGTCACTGTGACCTGCATTGCACTAACTCTGGCCTTCTCTCATGGACTTCCTGAGGTACTTTTTAACTCTGGAGTTTGAGTAGAAGATGTGGAGTAGCCAACCCAATTTTGAGTTCAGTCTCTACTCCCAAAACCACACAAGAAGCCACCACAATTACGCAGTCAGAGTAATTAATTCAGGTATTGCAAACTGTACAGCTCTGGTAATAAGGGATAAACTTCATCACCAAGAAGAGCCACAAAGTTTGAAATACTTGAACCTTGTAGGTGAAAGGTAAGCAAAAGGGGACCATAGTGGACCTCTTTGCTATCAAATTACTGTCCTTGGAAAGTATGTCTGCCCCTGACATATCCAGCCTCCACAGAAAAGGAACAGTTTCTCCCTGGCTACAAGAACCAAAAATAAAATATATAATGCTTCTTTCTTCACAGAGGACCTGAGCTTATGGATCTTCTACATGAGGGAAAGCTGAAGAAGGAAGAATGGTTTTCTAGGACCCATGTTTTAAACCATAGATTGTTGAAACTAGGCATGCGATTTTGTTGTGATTGACAACCATAATGTCTCTAATGGTTTTCTCAGGGCAAGTGTTAAATATTCCTTCTAGGCTTGATAAGTACTTCCTGTAACTGCCTCCCAACTCTAGTGTGGCACAAAAGCCACACCTATTTCTCCAGTGTCTGTTAGAACTGGAGAAATAGGTACACCTTTCTTCCTGTGTGTAATTGCCTTATCTTAATGTCCACCCCATGAAGTCATTTTGCAGAAACTTCATTGGTGCTAAACATGCATGGTCAGTTTGCTCAAGGGCTGTTATCACAAATTCCCTCTCTATATAAGGTCTCTGAGAAGATGAGCTTTGTACATCCCATCTCCCTTCTGGAAATCTCATAATTCTGCAAGAATGGTGAGTCCTTACATCTTGTACTGTAAAAGACCATGGTATGTTGCTATAGGTTTTAAAGGAGTTTCTGTTGAATTTATCTCCGTACTTGGCACATTAAGAAACTTGGAGAATGTATAAATTCTGTGTTATGACAGCGAGTCAAAGAGAGGCAAAGAGAGGTAAGAACTTGGGGTGAAAAGTCTGGATAATATCTGAACACTTCACTGAACTAAAAAAAAAAGGTATCTTGATTTTTACTCCTTTGTCACTTGCAGTTTTTTTTTTTACTTCTTTTTATAAGTCACCAGACCTACTGTCTGAAATGACACACTTAATACAGTATGTGTATGTGATGGTTTATTCCTGGTAGACCAGGAATAAACCTTTCTCTTACCCTTCAAACATTTAAAACTAATATTGAAACTTCAGCTGAATTTTCAGAAGAAAATCACTGACAAAGGTCAAAGAATATATAATTACCTAGGTTGTAAGTAACACCTGCAAGTAAGGTACAGGGCCAAGACTTGAGTATTTAATGTCAGCTAAAGTTATTTCACTTGTTCCTAATCCTTCAATATTAGGGTGAAACATTTTGTAGTTCTACAGACTGCAGTAAAGAACTTTTTGCAACTGTGAGGTTAGTGGAAAAAACAGTTGGTGACCAAGCCTACAGATAAAAAGAGGACTAGAAAATTTAATGGGTAATGGAGAGGAATAGAACACACATTTCTCACAAACGGTAGCCGAGTCTAGCATTCAATGCTTGATCCTAACAACTGCGAAAGACAGACAAAGACAGACATTTTTTGCCCTCCCATGTGATGCTCTGCCTCTGCTTCTTCAAAATGGTTGTATATTCCTGATAAGTGTGTTAAAGTATCTAAACTGCAAAAGACAATTGGATTTTAATTTGAAACCACAATGTATTTTCCTGTTATTTATCATCAAGACATCTTAATAGCTACTGAAGGATTGATATGAATTCTGTTTTCTTGTTCAGAACACCATCTTGGCCTGCCTTCTTGCTCTTGCCATCAGCATGCCACTGTCTGATGCTTCTTGTTTCTTTATGCCATTCAAGCCAGGGATGTCTAATGGTGTGGTTGTAGGTAAGAAGCCAACTGCCCTCAGCTTGACAGACATCATCAGAATCACTGCTTGATTTGTCCATTTTGTGC